CTCTAGATATTCTTGTAATGTAACTGCCGACAGGCCTAGCCAGGAAAACCAATGGTGTTGAATGCTGGGTTTCGTAATCCAGCATCCAAAGGGCTGCATCTGGTTTTGCAATCCAGCATCCAAAGGGATGCATCTAGAGCTTGCCACCTCCTCCCCCTGCCCCCCCCCCCCAACACACACACTTGGTGCAGATAAGCACATTGCTGTTTTATCAAAGAATTATATTTTGACACTTAAAGGAAAGAACTGGAGCATGTTATGACAAATYATTTGCTTCTCATCCAGCCAGGATTGTCAGTCTGGACTCTGAAGTCAGTTGGATTTATTCCATAAACCATTAAAAACAACAATAGCAGGTCTAAGGTCTCTTGGTGGATGGAAAATGCTGATCCAGTTTTTGAGCAGGTGTCAGGAAAAGACTTGCTCAGAAAGTTTATGTTTCTGTAATCAGACCTTTCTGTCCTTTATTTCCTGTTTGGTTTGTGCTTCTGTCCCTATTTTCCTATCATAATCTTACGATGGGAGACTCCTCCTCTCTAAATCAAACACTGAGTTTTTTATGAGTGGAAAATCCCTATCAGGTTTAGCTGTCTTTCATACACGAAAATAACAATGCCATCAATTCTACAAGACGCCTGTAATAAGCCACAATAATTACCTTCAATGTCACTTTTACGAAGGTCATATATGTACCTGTCGGTTTGCTTTGGATATGAGGGTTAGCTAAAGCCAGATAAGATGCTGCAAAAACTCAAGCATGATACACATGTGAGCTAAGGCTAAAAGGATTAGCTCTAAGGATGAAAAGGAGATAATTAGAGCTCAAGCAGACCTTCACCTATGCACACTGGAAGTTTACCTAGATTTGGAGTTTCTACCCTTTTCTCTGCACAATACTCTTCCCTTTTGCTTATCTTGACTATTGTAGTCACTGCTGCCACCTGATCAACAACATTGCCTTTCTTCAAATGAGCTCAAAGGGGCATCCATGGCTCTCCTCTTCCCTATTTACATATTCCTACAATAATGTAGGGCTTGTCTACACTGGTTGTAAACTCTGGTTTTGACAACAAAAGTTGCTTCTGAATGTTCAATGCCCAGGGAGTTCTAGTTGGTAACACAGCATAGATCCAGATTACATGAAGATGGGGAATATTCTAGAGTTTTGGGATGGATCTATACTGGTCTGTTCTCCTGGCTCCAATCTGGCATGGCGTTAAGGTAGCCTTGCCCAGTGCTATGTTGGATCTGCTATGTACATAGCTTGGCTGCCAGCCCTTCACATAAAGTGGGTTTTTAAAACCTCCCGCAGGGTATCTGGATTAAAGTCTTGTCTGGAACTGCCCTGAGACTAAATGTGGTATCTCTGCATAAAGCACTCTGTATAACTGTATTCTTGTTGAAATTCCAGAAGGATTCCACATTTCAGGGCTTCTGTAGACAGCTGAACTGGCTGTAATATATTTCTCCATGCCTTCAAAAACAGCTTCAGCTAAGTATTGTGTCTCCTCTAAATGAATGCCTGGAGCAGGTAATGGCCTGATGAGAGGGAAAAGAAACCGAATCCAAACAAAACAGAGGTGCCTGCCATCAAGGGTCCTCATCTGGGGATAGAGGTGTGTCAACCACTTGTGGATAGGGTTACACTCCCCTTGAAATACTGTCTCCACAGCTTGGGAATTCTCCTGGATCCATCCCTCCAGATGTCAGCCCAGTAGAGTGATTACTATCAGCTTCGGATGATGCACCAACTACGCCCCTTCCTAGAGTTGGAGGGCCTGAAGATGGTGGTGCACACACTGGTAACCTCAAAATTGAGCTTCTGCAATGTGCTTTATATTAGCCTACCTTTATGTGGGTGCATGGGATCATCAGCACTCCAAATGACTTAGGAGTCCCCTCAAAGGCCCAGGCAGCGGTGTATGGAGGAGGCCACAAGTTGGATTCTTACTACAAAGGCTTTTATTGCTGGCCAAAGCAATAAGGTGACAGTAGTGTCCACTGCACAAAAGTTCTGTTGCAACCTGAAATGGGGTTGCACAGTTTTTTTAATCACTTTTCACAGAAAATTGAAAACACATTTTCATTGGTGTTCAACAATCAATCATTTCATTGGTCTAAGCTGGCTAATACAGATTTCATTGGCTTTCCGTGACTCTTTAACAGGCAGGAAGGCACACGTGGGATCTTAACAATCACACAACTAGGCTTTCATGTCTTCTGACCCTGGCTGTCTTAATGAATTAGTCTAATCTGTTTTTCTGTTGCAAGCATAAACTCCAAGCAGCTGGGAAATTAGGGGGTGCAAGCTCACCACTTCTGTCCTGATGTACTTTTCCTTGAAAAGTAACTTCCTCTCTGCAGCAACTTTTTCCCAAACTTCCACGTTTTCTGCAATCAAAGGCCTCTGCAAATCAGACATATAAGACTTTTAATCATTGAAAGCATCCATGAAAATCCCATTCAAAACTACGTCTCCCTCACTTGTACGAAGTTCAAAAACTTCAGCTGGTTCCAAATACAGCAGCCAGATTGGTTACAGGAACATCTAGGAGTGAGCATATCACACCCATGCTAAAGTCACTTTACTGGTTGCCAATTAGTTTCCGGGCAAAGTACAAGGTGTTGGTTTTGACTTTTAAAACCCTACGTGGCTTGGGTCCAGGTTACCTAAAGGATCGTCTTCTTCCATACAATCCGCCATGCACACCGGTTTTCTGGGGAGTGACTCCTCCAACCAGCCAGAACCCAACTGGTGAACAGAGGACCTTTTCATCAGCCACCCCACAACTGTGGAATGACCTGTCAGAAGAACTTGGACAGCTAAATGAGCTGTCAGAATTTTAAAACCATATAAAGACCTATCTCTTCCGGCAGGCCTACCCAGACAATCTTTAAACATGAATTTTAAGTGTCCTTTGTTTGAGCTTTATTTTGTGTGTTTTAGTATGCATTTTGTAGAGATATGTTTTGGTGTGCAGAAGTATGTTTTAGTATGTGTATTTGTAGTGTTTTTGCTATGCATATATATTTTAATTGTTTTGTAACCCACCTCGAGCCATGAGGTGAGGAAGGTAAGAAAGATTAATAATAATAATAATAATAATAATAATAATAATAATAATAATAATCAGTCAACTGCCTGCATGGGCTTCATTGCTATTCCCTTTTCTTTGTGCTCCATGGAAAACTGTATACCACCAAAGGCAGTTGATGATGGAGCTCCATAGCACTCCATCAGTAACTATGGGGCAGCAAAGGTGAGGTGACCATCCAGTAATGTCAAACTAGTCTCAGCCCTTGTTGGGTGGTCTGAACACAACTCTGATACTACAGTGGGATGGACATGAGCTGTATAGCCATTCACAGATCTTTGGATTAAAGAGCAAATACACCCCTAATGAGGTATACCAGACTAAGAGAGTGAATAACTCCACTCCAGCCACCCAGAAGCGGCCCTAGGTAATTTTCGACGGTAAGCAAACAGTATTTTGCCCCCCCCCCAACCAATCACTGATATATATTTTCTGTTCGTCGTGGGAGTTCTGGGTGCCATATTTGGTTCAATTCCATCATTGGTGGAGTTCAGAATGCTCTTTGATTGTAGGTGAACTATACATCCCAGTAACTACAACTCGCATATGTCAAGGTCTATTTTTCCCCAAGAGTGCCTCAAGAGCGCCCCTTGGCAAAATCAACTATACTGCAAATGCTTATTTTGCGTAATGGGTTGAGCCGCCCCTGCAGCCACCTAAACATAAGAAAGAACTTCCTTTGAGTCTCATTGAGCCATTTTGGGTCTCCTTTGTGGAGGGGAAAAAGCGGGGTATAAGCATCGTAACAATAGTGACATCTTCCTGTTCGGCAGTGGACTACGCTGCCTTTAAAATGGTGGAATCTCCATCTCTGGATGTTATTACAGAGGCACGAAAACTATCTGTCAGGAGTGCTTTGATTGTGTGTTCCTGCATGGCAGAATAGGATTGGATGTCCCTTGGGGTCTCTCCCAAGGGACATCCAATCCCATTCTGCAATACAGGTCTCTCCCAGGAGCCCCCGGTGGCGCAGTGGGTTAAAGCACTGAGCTGCTGAGCTTGTTGATCGAAAGGTCACAGGTTCGATCCCAGGGAGCGGCGTGAGCTTCTGCTGTCAGCCCTAGCTTCTGCCAACCTAGCAGTTCGAAAACATGCAAGTGTGAGTAGATCAATAGGTACTGCTCCGGCGGGCATGACTGCATGGAACGGCGCTCCGGCCACATGACCTTGGAGGTGGCTACGGACAACGCTGGCTCTTCGGCTTAGAAATGGAGATGAGCACCACACCCCAGAGTCAGACATGACTGGACTTAATGTCAGGGGACTACCTTTACCTTTACCTTGGGTCTCTCCCAGTTCTGATCCAAAGGCAACCAGTAAATTCAGCAGGAATTTCCACACAGTCATTTAATCTGGATCAGGATTTGGCACCATTTAACTACCTTGGCTCAATGGTATGGAATAGGCCTGGGCAAACTTGGGCCCTCCAGGGTTTTTGGACTTCAACTCCCACAATTCCTAACAGCCTCAGGCCCTTTCCTTTTCTCCCTCAGTCGCTTGGAGGGCCCAAGTTTGCCCAAGCCTGTTTTTGACACATTTAAGGATCCCCACTCGTTAGGAGCACACCACATTTTCATATTATTACACTCTTCAAGAGATTTCATTTCATTTCTCCGCCTGAGCGAGGAACCAAGCCCAGCTGAAACCTTAACGGCCCCTTCCCGAGGGCGGGAGAAGCTGCAATGCCACCGCCCTGAGGGAAGCCTGAGGGCGTCTCCTGAACGAGTGGGCGGGGCTTCGGGCCGCCAGGTCGCGCGCGAGAGGGCGTGGCCAACGGCTTTGGGCACGCGGGCGACAGGCTGACAGGATCACGCGATTGGGCACATGGCTGCAACTGCAGCGCCAGCGCACGCGCCGCTCGTCCCGGGGAGGCGTGGCTAAAGCAGGGGCCAACCAGGGCGTGTCATCGCCGAAAGGGCGGGGCTTGGGAAGGAGGGACGTTGACAAGCAGAGTGCCCTCGCGGGCGTTATTTGAATGCGGTTGCTAGGAGACGGGCGCCCGCTCGCGCTCCCGCGTGCCAATAGGGAGCCGCCTTTCTCCCTCGCTCGCCCTGACGGAAAGAAAACGGTAAGGTTTCTCAACGCGAACCCGCAACATGGCTACAGGTGGGAGGAGGGGTGGCGAGGAAAGGACTGGTCCATCCCTTGAACGTCCAAGGCCTTCGAGTAGGGGGCGCTAGCTGACAGACAAGAGGCCGTGCGTTCTGTCAGCGGGGGAAATGGGAGGCTGGGAGTGAGGCCTAGCTTGCCCATTCTCGTCAACGGGGAGAAGGTTTAAAGGGGCCGCACCTTCCCTCCCCAGGTGCGGCGAATGGGCCAAATGAAGCGGGGAGGGCATTTCCTCCCGCCTTTCCGCAGTTTGGCAGTGACCAATGAGGGGAGAGGAGCAGCCCGAGCGACGGTTGCGCGGACCAATCAGGGAAGAGAGCACCTTGAGGGCGGAGTTCTCTCCCGCTCTGCGCCTCGCCCCGCCCATGGCTGCAGTTTTTGTCCAATGGGAGTGGAGGATTGTGTGCGAAGGGGCGGGGAGAGCGCCGGGTTCGGGGGATTGGGAGGGAGGCGCGGCCCGGCTGAGGGCACTGGCGCGGCTTTACTGCAGCGGCGGAGGGAGCTCCTCTTCGAGACGGGCTGAGAGGGAACGCGTTGGGAAGGATTGGCCGAGGGAGTGGTGGGTGCTTCTTGGCGAGGGTTGCTTCTCCTCCCGCCCACGTTTCGCCCTGATCTCCCTTTCGTGGGGCCCGCCTGACCCTGCTGCGTTTCTTCCGTTCCCAGGAAGGGTTTGCGACTGGGGAAGCCGAGGCCGAGAAGCACCAGCTGCGGCGGGTTGAGGCGGCGGCGGCGGCGGCGGGCCCCTGGTGCCCCCTGCTCGCCTCAGGCCCCTCCCCTGCGATGGGGAATGGCCTGTCGGAGCAGACGCCGATTCTGTCCAGCCTGCCTTCTTTCCAGTGCTTCCACATCGTGATCCTAGGCCTGGATTGCGCCGGCAAGACCACCGTCCTCTACCGGCTGCAGTTCAACGAGTTCGTCAACACCGTCCCCACCAAAGGCTTCAATACCGAGAAGATCAAGGTGACGCTGGGCAACCACAAGACGGTCACTTTCCACTTCTGGGACGTCGGGGGCCAGGAGAAGCTGCGGCCCCTGTGGAAGTCCTATACCCGCTGCACCGACGGCATTGTCTTCGTGGTGGACTCTGTGGACGTGGAAAGGATGGAGGAGGCCAAGACGGAACTGCACAAAATCACACGGATCTCTGAGAACCAAGGGGTGCCTGTGCTCATTGTGGCCAACAAGCAGGACTTGAGACACTCGCTGTCGCTCTCCGAGATGGAAAAAATGTTGGCCACCAGTGAGCTGAGCTCCTCGACGCCCTGGCACCTGCAGCCGACTTGTGCTATCATAGGCGATGGCCTCAAAGAAGGACTTGAGAAGCTTCACGATATGATAATTAAGCGAAGGAAAATGCTACGGCAGCAGAAAAAGAAGAGATGAACAAGCTGACCATGAGGGGTAAAATTCCCTTTTGGCGTTTGACTCAAACAGTTTCCAGGACCCAGCCTGCTTGTTTGGATCCTGTACTGCCTAAATAACAAACATTCAGTCTGGTGGGAAGCTTTGCAGGCACAGACCCTTTCAGTGGTTTCCCTAAAAAAATGTGTTGTTTGGGGCACTCAAAAAAAACCCCAACACAAAAAAACCCTTGTTGCATAGTACAAAATAATCAGGAAGCAGATGGGTGGGTAAATGTGACCTGGATATCTAAATAGCCAAATAAAAAATGAAGAGTGTTCCGCTTGGTGGTGTAGTCATATGTTTGAGAGTGCCTTTGCAAGTCAAATTGCATTGGTGGCATTCAGTGTTTTTCAGCTGCTTGTATAAGTGGAGTGTTTAGATGAAGATATACAGCTTTAAAATAGTATCCTTTTAACATATATGGAGCTAGAAAACCATTATTTAAAGAGGCTGTGAATGTGGAGGGTTTTTTCAATAAAAGGTTGGCTGTATGCTATGCTTTTAAACTGGTTCGCTTAAAATAACACTGGGAGCTCAGATAATTGGAACGATCACAACTTTGTTATGTTATCTGTAGCTTAATAGAGGAAAAACGTATGGAATATGTAAGAGCATGGATGAGTTTCCTGATAATGTAGCATGTCTTGGTGTGTAGGGGTTCTTTAGAAATAGCTGTACATCGTCAAACAGTGCAAATCAGGTTTGGACCATACCTGTTTGTTCTAGGGAGACATTTTCTGGAAAGGTTGCTCTCCCAGGAATTTTCTGAACAATTAGAGAAAAATAAACTGCTACCATAAGGGACTTGGGTTTCAAGATATCGTGCAATAGTACCTTTAAACAAAATTGATGGCAATAAAATTTGATCACATTAACTTTAAATGAAGCTGAAGTAAGCAGAACTACATGTCCCATGTGCCCAGTACTGTTAAAACGTATTGTCAGGATTTATTATTCTCACAGTGCTTTTAGGAATGTATTGAAGCTTTATACACTTGAAAATTGTGACACTGTGGGGAAAGAAACTAAAGTTTAAAGATGACCTGTGTCTGCTCTAATTATACTTTTAAGCTTTCCTTGTTTACATTCATGCAAGCAGTGTTAAATTAAGGGGTGGAGCTGCACATGATTGAAAGAAGTTAACTGGTACACTTTCTAAAACTGGTCAACTTGGGTAGCAGGTTAAAGGGCTAGAGTAAAGCCTGTATTACTCTACTGGTGCTGTGAAATGTTATAATAATTACATTGTAAGGTGAGAGAGAAATCTTTAAAAAAAATCCTCTCCTTGGCACAACCAGTAAAGTCTGTGTGTTGTCTTATCTACCAGCCAGATACAGGGATAGATAACTACACTTTTGAATGTCAGGAAGTACAACTTGTGTAAAATCAAATTTTATAGCCAGAAACTGCTTAGAAGGTAACCAAAAATGCACCTTAAGTGTTTCCAATACTGAAAATGACAACTTTTTAAATAAACAAATAAATAATGAAATCCTGGTCCTTTTTGAAAGAAATGAAGTAGCTTCCAATGGAGCTTTTGTATGGTGGTTATATGTAACTGCACTAGTGACACTGAAAGTCACTTAATGTCTATATTTATATAAATGTGGATAACTTCTTAAACCTCAGTAAACTCAATTCCAGATGAGTCATCGGCGACAGAAGTTGACAACATTTTACTTTGCGGATATTGCTTTTTTTCAGAACTGTCTGCATGAAATTGAACCCTTTATTCATGTGAGATTTGTAATATGTGACTATGTTTTAAAAATCACAGGTATCATTAAAATTTTAATGGCAATTTGTATTACGTTCCATATGTTCTACAGTAGCCATGTATTACTTTTCATAGTTATGGTGTCTTGAGATTAGTGCAAATGCTATAAAAAGTGTGGCATGCTTCACTATAGCTTTGTCACAGTCCAGCTACTTTCTTCATAGCTATGCATGCAGCCTTGAGGCTTCTCTACACAACTGAATCCACAGGTGGTAACTACAAAGGTGATCCATTCATTTTGTCACAGCATATACATTTCCAGAAGAGCAAATGGAAGTTACTTTTACCCTCAAATATATAGGTTGAAGGTAGTTTCTCAGGGACAATTTGGGAGTTTTATTGACTATTCACAGCATTTGAGTGTTGTTTAGTTGAGAATACATTGCTATCACAGATTCTTCCATGCACCTTTCATGCTGCATCCAATATATAGAGGGTCAAAAATGCTAAGAGATGCCAACATCAGTTTGCACTAGACCTGTGGATTTCATTGCTGTAATTCTATTAGAGTATTATTACTCTTGTGTACTTTTAGGCCACAGAAGCATCTTTATTGACTTGCATGTCCCAACTATGTTATACAGTATTCATGAAAATGAAACTGTCAGATGTTAGTGGGTGAGACTTTATTAAAACAGGGAATTATCTGTGTTTTAGGAGACTGCATAGTCAATTTAGCCGATCTAGTTGGAGCCAGCTAACTGCTTAGTATTTTTTTTAGTGCTTTCCCAAGTTGCAGTTTCTCTCTCAAGTTCCTCCCGACATGAAAAAAGTGCTTTCTCAAAGGTGTGTCCTTTTAAAACACAGTGGGATTTCCCAAAAGGGTTTAATAGTCTTTATTCCTGTCACCTGCGTTCAGATAGAGTTACCAGTGGGAAAAGATCTGCTTATCTAGGATTGGCTGCTTTCTTTACTTGGATCCTACTTCCCTTTGTGGAATGTACTAAACCTGACACAATATCTACTTACTGTTGCAGTGGGTGTACTTGCTAGGAGCACAAGATGGCTACTGTTCAGTAAAACTATTCTGAGTAAAAACCAGAGCATTCTTGTGATTTAACTTCCAGTTAAATTGTCAAAAGAAGATAAGCCTGTCCAGATAACCTTTTAGTGAACGGGGAAATAATTTCACTGTTCTTAAAATTAATCATGATACTTAGCTAATCCATAGTATTCACCATTCAGAGAAGTTCTTGTATGGTTCTGTGTGGTTCTTGGATGGTTCTGCATTCGCATAAGTATTTGAGAACCAGTAGGTAGACTTACTGAAAATAAATAAAGTTAGACAAGGACCTCTTTGCAGTGCTATTGCAATGTTATATAACTATATGCAGTGGAAAATTGCTTCATGTTTCCTTTTTCAGAGTGAGGAGTGATAGCTAAACATGCAGTAACTAATGAGACTTTGGGACTTTTTTTTTTTGCTTCTTTTCTACCTTGTTGAGCTCTTTTTTCTCATTTAATGAAACCACAGCTGCTTAGCAGTAACTGGGGCCCTACCACAAATTAGGTATCAAACTCTGGTGCTGATAATAATAATCTGGTGGATAGGTGTGGGCAGAATGGGTCAGAGGGAGATAACTTAAAATAAGATTGTTGACTAAAATGCTGCAAGCAAGTGGTACTGTAAACAGTTTCACATCATAATATTGATGCATGTATCAAATTAATTAGCTTCTGAAAATAGTCTCAGTAGGGCTTTCCATGGATAAACTATTAAAATAGCTTTTAAAAACAAATGCTAAATGATTATTTTTATGCAAGATTGAATCTGAATGCTATTCATTGTTTTGACTTCCTTAGAATAGCTGCATTGATTTTGTACATGACTGAGCATGGCAGAGTCTGAATTCAGTTCATTCTGTTTGCTTGCCAATTTGCTCATGTTTGGGGGTGAAAGTGGAATTGGAATGGAGCTATCTCAAAAGTGTTCAAGGAGAACTTTTCTCCTGGTTAAACCTGTGAGGAAATGACCTGCTAAGCTGTCTTATTCTTTAGAGGCAATGGATAGATAGAGTATTTTAGGCTTCTGTACTACACAGTTGATTTCTAAAAATATCTCACTGTTGCTAGGATCAGGTGAGCATCGTGTTAGCAGCCTAAGGGAACCCTGCTACAAAGACCCTTCTGGCATTTTTAACACCAACCCATGACATGATGTGGTGTGAAATGTTCATAGTATATCTGGCAGATCTTGAGTATGACAAGTCTCATTTTCTGCACAGGAAAAAACAACAACACCAAATGCTCTGAAAGGCAACAGTGGCGGGGGGGGGGGGTATTCATCAATTTGAAAAGAGTTTCTTATGAGGGTTTGTCGTTATGTTTCTCAGATACACTTGTTGAAAATGTACATTGGCCTTGTTCTTAAGAGTGCATACATATACAATAGCTCTTTGCTGCTACAAAAAGGAAGCTCCTGTAGAGTGTGCATTAAAATGATAGGCTATTCCTTTAAAAGGGGCTTGGCCTTTCATTCTTTATCTAAAACCTATGGTGACCATATGACAACAGCATCATGACTTCTTCCCTTTTGTTACTGAATTATATTCTTGCTGGATAGTGGCTGCCTAAACCAGTTTTACAGCTAAGTGAAGCTTTGCAGCCGTGAAAGCAAAGTAGGGGGAAAGATCTCATTTGCTTATATCATATATTAGATATAAATATGGTTTTTAAAAAACAGTAGCAAACCAATCTTTTTGCATGTTGTTTGGCACTTTAGAGCTACATTGAAACAAGAGAAAACATCCTCCAAAATTTAGTTTAGAACTGTCCTGGGCTACCACCCATCTTGGCAAATACTAACCACCATCGCACCTTAGCCACAGTTCACCAACTTTGTGGTCTATGTATGTGCTGGCCCAGCATGGTATAGGGGTTTGAATGTTTTGCATGCAAAAGAAGACATTTTAACTTCCTGACCATGAGAGCTGTTCAACAGTGGAATTCTCTGCCTCGGAGTGTGGTGGAGGAACCTTTTTGGAGGCTTTTAAACAGGCTGGATTGCCATCTGTTGGGGGTGCTTTGTGCTTTCCTGCATGGCAAGAAGTTGGACCGGATGCCCCGTGTGGTCTCTTTCAACACTTGATCTATATGAATGAATGTTTTGTACCTAGACATTTTTGTGTTCAGTGGAGATGAGGATTTGCATAAGATAAATGGTTGAAAATTGATGGAAAAAAGGTTTATGTGTAACAAGAATTAAAATATAATTTACATGATGTGTTGATTATGCAGATCTCCTAAAGCAACCTAGTGTGAGGAAGGAAACCACATGGACATCCTCTATGCTATTGGCTACCAAGAATGCATGATTATGTATCTTATTAAACAACAGTATCCACTATCCAGGCAGATCCCTACGCTTAATGTTATGCCCTCCATGAAGATATTTCTACAAAGTGGAAGTGTTTGCTACAACAGCCTCCCTCATTATTGGTTTCATGGATAAGCCAACCTTGACTGAAAGGAATACTGCTGTTAAAGAGTCTTTGAAATGAAAATGAAAGAGATCTGGATAATAATGGTCAAGAGGTCATTTGTGGATGAACTACAATGATCTACCTGTAAAAGGATTGGGATGGTGGAGAGTTATGAATACTGCCTTTGAGATATTTGAAAAAAAGGTGAAGTATACATGTAACACATTTTCATAACTGAATAACTTAATTCCTACTCCCCCCCCCCCAAAAAAATTAATCACAAAAATGTAAAAAGCAGCTGAAGAAAATGCAATATGTGCTTTAATCTATAGGAGTAATGGGAAATTGAATCACACACAAACATGAGGCTTGACTTTGTTGCTTTGTAATGAAGCAGTTGGTGGCACAGGATGTAGCTGTTACCAGATGATAATGCAAAGCGAAAGACTAGACTATAGGAAACCCCAGGGTGGCTCAGCATGGTGCTGGATTCTCACCGAAGAACTGGTCACTTTCCCATAATAAGAACCGTAATCAAGGCCAAAAATACTTGCAAATGTACTTGCTTCTGTTATAGTTTCACAAGCAATATGCTCATGACTGGGAGTAACTTACTCTTCCTTCCTGAATTTAAAATGAATATTAATAATGGTTCTGGAAGTGCTGCTGTAGCATAACTGTATTTTTAAAAGCATTGTTCAGCACTAATTCCAACACTGTAGGAAGTACTGTACAAAAACTAGCGGGGGGGGGGGGGCGGTGAACAGCAATGCTATATTGGAAAATTTGGTTTGACCTTCTCTTTTGCCAGCAGGTGAAGAAGACCTTTTTGTTTATGGAGCCCTTTAGGATCTAAACTTATGTATGAAGTGATATGTTGTATATATTTATAATTGTGGAGCCCCCTGTGGCGCAGTGGGCAAAACCCTTGTGCTGGCAGGACTGAAGACAGACAACTCGCAGGTTCGAATCCAGGGGGAGTGCAGATGAGCTCCCTCTGTCAGCTTCAGCTCCCCATGTGGGGACATGAGAGAAGCCTCCCCAAAGGATGGTAATACATCAAAATATCTGGGCGTCCCCTGGGCAATGTCCTTGCAGACGGCCAATTCTCTCACACCAGAAGCAACTTGCAGTTTTTTAAGTCACTCCTGAGACGAAAAAAATTATAATTGTTTTGTCTTTTGCTACTTGTTAATATTTAAATGTGTTTTTACTTTTAATATTGCTTTGAAAATAATATTGCCATTTAATTATCTTAAATTTTATAAAATTATGATTTTATTTAAATCTTATTTTACTCTTGGATTGTATCATGTGAGAAAGGCAGAGTATAAATTCAATTGATACAAAGTTACTGTCAGGGAAACATTGTCGTAGGCTGTCCTGTTTAGCTGGCTCTTCTTGTATTTGAAATAATACAATGCTATGCATAAAAAGACAGGAAAGGCAAAGTATGTGTCTTTATAAAATCTTAACACATTGTTTGAGAGAGTGCAGTTCAAGCTAATATGGAAATCGCTTATGTGTGTGCCTTTTAACCCTAACAGGAAAGAAAAGGAAAGCTGTATATGTTTTAGGGCATCTTCTTTGTATAGTAAGATG